AGGTAGCTCAGAAGAGAGAAACGGGGGCAGGGCCTGGGAGCCCTGAGTGGGACCTGACCATGGGATGTGTCCAGTGTTGGTTTGCGTTTTGCGGGGTGTGTATGTGTTTATTTCCTTTTTGTCTTTCCTTAGGACTTACTAAAGCCCTCTGGGAAGTTTCAGCTGCCTCAGCTGTGTGTGTGTGTGTGTGTGTGTGTGTGTGTGTGTGGTGAGGTGACAGGTGGGGGAAGGGTTGGATCAGGACCACGAGGTAAGGGATGCTGGAGCTTGGGTTTTCAAGAGGGGTGCTCTCTCTTCCCCTCCCACACCCTGTCCGGGTAGCCGGCCTAGGGCTGGACTGGAACTATTTCTTCCTTTTATTTCTGGCAAAAGCTACAGGAGGGAGTTCCCCTTCTCTGTTTGTTTTGATTCTGTTGTTTTCTTAAAGAGAGGAAGGAAAACCATCATCACTTTTTCGGTTTTGTGAACAAAGGCAGGCAGAGAGGATGTTCGCTGGGGCGGGGGATGTGGGCCTCACTTTCCCCCTCCCCCCACCCTCAGCAGCTCCAGCCTGCATCCCCACCCTGCAGAACGCAGATCAGGCACCATGGTGTGGGATCAAGTTTAGGTGCTGGCTCTGCCTTTTAAAAGCTTTTCGCCTCTCTGAGGTACATCTGTAAAAGTAGGAGTTGTCAGGTCTGCTTTACAGGATGGTTGAGGTTAAAAACAAAAGAAAATGCTAACCTGTAAAAACACGATGACTGCTCCAGAAATGTCTTTCCTTTGCTTCCTTCCTTTGGGGAAGAGAGCGTGGTCTATCCCTTGGCCCAGGTGTGTGGAGTAGGGGGAACTTCCCCGCTGAAAGCCCCCTCCCATCTTCCTGCTAGTCCGTATGAAGCTGGCTTTTGCCGCAGCAGGACCTGCAATGCCAGCCTTAGGAAGAGGCTCCGAGAAGAAACGACAGGTAAGGCTGGGGCTCTTTCTTGCTGCCTGGAATTGTCCCCACTCTGTGGGAGAGAGGTGAAGCCCCTGAATTTCTCCCAGCCCCTTCATCCCTCAAGCTCCATGCCCCACTGGATTGTATGCCCCAGGGTCCACCCCTGCAGCCCTGGGCAGGCTCCCTTCTTTGATGAGATGTTTGGGGCTGCCCTGACCAGACAGAAAGGGAGCCCTACCCTGCTTCTAGTACCCTTCCTGAGCCCCAGCTTGCTCTGAAACTTGGCCAGGGCATGCTACCTCTCAGGGCATCGGTGTCTTAGTCTGTAAAGTGGTTTCTGAACTTTTTTTAAATACAAACACTCTTTTATAGAATTGAAACATTTTGCACACCAGCTCCCTGCTTCACGTGATAGCAGTCATGCTTTAAAAATCCTATGGTTGAGAAAAAAATACAAATGACCATAAGCAAATATGCATTCAGTAACACTTTTAAATGAGTGTGGGTTTTATTCAACAGCTTCTACATAAATTTGAAAATGTGTCCCCTTATGGGGAGATGTCAGCTTCTAGATGGTGATGATACCTAAGGGAGTTTGAGGCTCCCATGGTGCCCTAGTCTCTGAGGGCACAGGTAGCCCGGGGATTGAACGGTTCTTCCTTGGCCCTCCTGCGGCTGACCCAGGGACTCAGGAACACCTTAACGGTCAGTCTCAGGCTCAGATACAGATACAGAAGCCCAACAGTGACAAGAATGCAAATAGTGTGGCGGCTTTTCTTCAACACGTGGATGCTGCCTGGGCTGGAATCCTCGCTCTGCCACTGACCAGCTCTGTGGCCTGGGCACATGGTACTTAACCTCTCTGGGCCCCAATTTTGTCATCTGTAAAAACGGGAGTGATGGTACTGGTGAGTTTCGTGAGGATTAAATGAGATCCTGAATTCATGGACTTCCTTGACACAAGGCACACACAGTCGGTGCTTAATAAATGTTCCATTTTAAAACACAAATAAAAACAAACCCACAAGTACCCCCTGCTTGCCTTCTTGCAGTTGCTTGTTGCCACCACGTGGGCTGATGCTGACCCCTTCGGGAATGGGGGCCTGGACCTCCCCTCACCTGTCCTCCTCCGGGACAGAACTCGGAGAGCGCCCCTCGTGCGCTGTTCCCTGGCCGGCCCTTATCTCCCTGACGCCGGATTCCAGTCTCCCCTCCCCGTTGCTTGGCCAGGCCAGGCCCCCATGCCTCCTCCACCCCAGGCCCGGCCTCTGCTCTTGGGGACCAGCGCGTTGGTTCCCAACCACATGAAGGGAAGGCACGCGGGAAAGCCACAAACTCAAAGGCTGAGTGAGAGGGATGTTTGTCAAAGCAGGACAGATCTGCGGCCAGGGACGCGGAGGGAGTGTGCCGGGACTTGAGCGGAAGCGGGCATTTCGGGGGAGAGGGGATGAGCACCGGGTAGCTGGCATGGGCAGGGCAGGAAGGAGGCCCATTAACACTTGGGCCCGAACGCGCTTCCTCCGGCACCTCGGCCAGGGCGCACACAGGCGCGTTTGTCCCGCTTTCACTGTGGCGCTGTGTTCGCAGCAGCCCCTGCCCCCAGCCCCAGGTGGGCGGTGTTGCCCGGGCACAAATGCCCTTTATGGATGGGCAGTGCCGGAGGAAGGCAGCACCTCCGTGGACAGTCACCACCCCCCAGAATTCAGAAGCGGCCCTGGAGCCTTCTCCCTCCTGGCAGTTGCGAGCACCCAGGGAGCCTGGTCACATGGGGCGGAGGGGCGTGGCTTTACCCCCACCGGCGTGGGGGGCCGTTCATGGGAGTAAATCCCAGGAGAAGCAGCCAGATTTGGAAAACCAGAGTCCCCCAGGTGACCCTTCCTTCCAGGGCCTGTGCTGGGGGATGGTCCCCTCACCCTGACTGCTGCCTTCTCCTGGGGCTGAGGTGGGGGACTTTCCTCTCTCTGAGGGGTTCTATGGGGAGGGCATTGCCCTGGTGAGACCTGAGGCGGAGAGGGAAAGCAGGCAGAGCCCAGTTATCCCGCATCACCCTCTCCCCCACATCCCATGAAGAGTGGGGCTTCATCAAGCATCCAGGGACAACCTGACCATCCCCTCCACGGAGCGCAGTCCTTGTGAGCCTGGGACTGAGTTCTGAGGGGCCCCCGCTGCTCTTGCGACGGCCAGTGGGCGACAGAAGTCACACATCTCACAGACAAGCCCTCCCGTCAGGCCCCACTGAACTTCCGTCCCCCATTCACACAGATCCTCAAGCCCCTCTCCCCCTCCCCCAGGCCTTTGGCCCATTATTCCATTGACAGGTGCAGGCCCGGTGCTGCCTGCCTGTCGGTGCCCCCTAGGGTTGGCCCAAGGACCTGCACCCCCGCCCCCAAAGGTAGGGTCCGATTGAACCGGTTCTCTGGAGGCCGGGAGGAGGGGAGGAAGGGCGCATGATTGCTGAGGTCTGCTCCCTGTGCCCATGACTCCAGGCTCACCCAGGGTGCAGGTAACCCCTTTCTGTAGAAATCGTCGGCCTCCTTTTATATACGGAGAGACTGAGGAGAAGAGGCCCAGCTTTCTGGGGTTTGCAGTCTAGCTGGGAGCAGGGTCAGGTGGGGGGCTCAAAGTGGGGGACAGACCCACGTGCTGGTGGAGGGGCGACCTCCCTGCGGTGCCTGAACTGAGCCCTGCCTGGCCGTGGTGCCCTGTGTTCCTGGCACCCCTTCTCTCTGCTGGGCTCTGCATGGTGGGTGGCCCCCCGGGGAGGGAGGGAGGGAGCAAGGCCCTGTCTTCACTCCTTTCCCTACCCCCTGAAGACCCCCTGTGAATGTGACACCTCTCAGACCACGGCCACCATCGCTGACTCGGGTTTGCCTCCTACCCTCTGTCCATGTTGAGGGAAATGTAAATGGAGGGAACATCACGGGCCTTAGTCACAAACCCAGGTTATTTCACATCCTGCAGAGGCATGGGCACAGCTGGGTGCCCAGGTACAGACACCCCCAACGCCCGCACAGACACAGACAGCACTTCCTCCACCCCGACACCCACATCCTCCACGACTCGGATATCCTTGCTGACACTCCTCGGGCACCGACGCCCTGCCCCTCTGGTACAGACACACGACACATACACCCGTGCCGGTCCCCGCAGCGATGAACGCACAGAGCCCCCGCCCACGGAAACTTTGCTCCACCCACGACCTCAGAGACCCGTATGTGCCACAGCTCCCTTCACAGACAGCCCCTCCTGATCTCAGCCACACAGATGAGCTCACAAATTCAGAGACTCAGCTCCTCAGAGGCTCTAGAACGCCCATGTGCACTTGCATAGAGACCCACACTCCCAGGTGCACACATGCCCCAGAACCCTGAGCCACGCCCCTCCCCTCCCTGCCAGAGGCTGGATGGAGGTCCCTTACTTCTAGTTCATGGATTCTGAAAGGTGCGTGCGTGTGTGCGTGTGCGTGTGTGTGAGAAACAGAGAATCCGCAAGGTGTCGGGCAAGCAGAGTGGAGAGGAAGAGAAGGAAGGAAAAGCTCTGTGAGTCACTTCCAGCTGAACAATAACACATCTTAGCCCCTGTGGCCAGGGGAAGGGCACGTTTGTCAACACAGCCAGAGCCTGGCTGCGGGATGGTCAAGGCGGTGGGGATCCCATGCAGAGAGACTTGCCCTTCCCCTGTCTGCACCTGGGGGCTGTGAACTCAGCATCCCGCATTCCCCAACACCTGTGTTGTCTGCGAGGCACCTGTCTCTAGGTGCTTCGGCTGTACTCCTCATCCTGACCAAACAAAACTCCAGAGTCCTCTGTTTATCCTCACCATAATTCCTGAGGTCGGACAGCCCCACCGCTCACAGCCCAGCCTACTGCTTCTATCTCCGGGGTCCCTCATTTGCCACCTGACTGCTCCCCGTGAACCCCTCCAGGCCTTTCTTCCGGCTGTGCCTGCTGCGCACACGTCCCTCGCGCCTCCACACTCTTCCTCTCCATCCTTCAGGCTCCAGCTCCTTCCTGACCCAAACCATGGTTTCTATTCCTTGTTTTCTGGCTAGTCAGAAAACTCTGCGGGGGGATAGTGGCTACTCCCTCCCCCCTCCCAGTTAGACTCTTTGCTCTAAAGGGCAGGCTCTAGAATTTCTTCTTCTGCCTCCAGACCCCTCTCCCCCACTTCCGCCCAGCAGGGCCCTGGAAACCAGCTAGCGGCCAGCAGCGTTTTGAGAGATGAACAGTAAGGGATGAGAAGGACAGCAAAGGCAAGGGGAGCTCTTCTTGGGCCTCTGCTCACTAGGTAACTGGTTTCCCTCTGGACCTGATTCTCCCCATCCTGCAGCTCACACAGGTTGGGGCAGCGAGGGAGGGAGGATTTCTCACCAGGCCCCACCCACACCACGGCCGGAGAGCGGGAGCACGTTAGGGCCTTGTCTACTGCGCACCACCTGGGACCCAGGCCCGTGCTGGCTTCGCGCGTGAGCTCACTTACCCGAAATAGCCTCATGATGGGGGTTGCTCGTTGGCCTCAGTTTCCAGTGGAGGAAGCTGAGGCTTCGAGAGGCTGGATAGTTGCCCAGGTCACCCAGCTGGTAAGTGGCACAGCCCCAGAGCCTGTGTACCCCCCGTGCTACCATCCTGCCCCTCAGCAGCATCGCCTCTTGTCCCCCGTTTGCCCGCCGACTCTCACCGGTGTCCGACTTTGAACTTTTGCTCTGCTTCGTCTGCCTGAAACTCTGCTTGTTTCTGCCCCTAACCTCACCCCTGTGCCTGACTGTGGCCCGTGGAGCAGAATGAAGTCCACCTGTGGTTGAGGGCAATTCTAGTTGCTACTTCTCATAGGGAGCCAGGCTTAGCACACATTTGGGTGTGGAAGGCTTTTTAAAAATCTGGGTCGGAAGCCAGATGGAGACCTGTCCTTCCTTCTCCTCGGCACCAACAGGGCTGTGCTCACTAGCCCTACAGCCTTCTTTCTGGCTCGCTGTTTCACACACTTACACAATTACACACACATGTGCCATGGCAGACTTGCGTTCAGAGCCTGCACAAGCCCCGTTGCAAGCGATGATGGAAAAAACAGGTCATGGGCTCTGGGAAATGCATAGGGCAGACTCTCCTTGTGGTACAAACTCAAGTGTGTGATCCCAGCCCGCAGAGAGCATGTAATTATTTGGTCATAAATCACACTCCAACCCCAATGGTTGGAATCGCATTCCTTCCCGTGCTCCCTGCCGGACCCACAGTGTCTCGGTGTTGGATATGAAATATGGTTGTGATTTTCATGTCTAACCAAAGTCAAGGCTGATTCCTCAAAGAGTGCAGTTTCACTGGAAGATAAAGACTGACCCAGATTCTTGTGTGTTGATGCTGTGGAGGAGAAGGAGTCTCCGGGAGAGGAGAGAGATGGGCACCCTTTGGATGGGGGAGAGGTGGATTCTTTGCCAAGGGGGCTTTGGGTGGCCCAGCTGCGAGTGGCTGTTAGCACAGCTGGGGATGGCCCTCACCCACCTTGTGTGGCCTTCATGACGCAGAGTTAGGAACACGAGCCTGGCAGGATGACGCTTCACAATACCACCTTGAAGTGAGTGTGGCCAAGTGACCCGCTTTGGCCAATGAAATGTGATTGATATGTGCTGCTTCCGGGTAGCAACAATGAGCGCTAAGGTGTGAACCCTCAAATCCCCTTCTGGCTGCCATGGTGATTGTGAACAATGATGTTGATAGAAGCTTCCTTCAGCCTGGGTCCCTGGGTGAGGACAGCGTAGCTCAGAACCCTCCAGGTGATCTATAGTGTTCACGTGGCGTGAGAGAGAAATGCATCTTTACTGTTTTAAACCACTGAAATGTTGGGATGTTTGTTACTGCAGCATAAACTAGCCCATCCTGTCTGATACGCCTATCTTAAGGGTGGACACGAGGAGTCATAATATAATGCACGTGAAGAACTTAGCTAAGTGCCCCTAAATATGCTGCTTCCTCTTCTTCCTTCTCTTCCTCCTCTTCTTCTGATGTTATTTCCCTTTTTATGCAACCTTGAGCCAAGTCACAAAAATTGACCCAGGTCCACTAAATGTCTGGCATAGGAACACAAAGTTGGGGGGAGGGAGGGCAGATAGATAATGTGAGAAACTGACACATGGTACACTGATGTTACATTACCAGTATGAGTCCAGAGCTAGGTGAGCCCAGCGGAGGGAGGGATAAGTCTATCGGGGTCCTCAAAAGTGAAATCTCACCTAGATTTTTGAGAGGCTGGTTTGATTTCTTCGGACGGAACAAAGGGAATGGTGTGGTCTGATTGTGAGGGCAGCTGCCTTTCACTATCTGCTACATGCCAGACACTGAATCAGGCACTCCAGCCAATTCTCCCTAATTGTCAGAGCAATGACAACATCCATGCTGTGTGCTATCGTTATGCCTATTTTATAGATGAGAAAACTGAGGCCAGCGAGGGCAGCTGGTAAATGGCAGGCAGCGTGTGTGCACAGATACAGAGGTGCGGCAACTCCTGAGCAGCCTTCAGTCTTGAGCCTTCCAGAGGGCCGCGTTACGACTCCAGGGAGATCGATCTAAGAATGTGATCCACACTCCACTCTGTGGCCTGGGAGACGTTTCCAAAACACGGCTCTGGGAAAGTCACACCGCTGCTCACCAGCTCACTGCGGCTCCCCACTGCGTTCTCCATGAGGTCCGGCGGTCTGGCGGGCTCCTTTGAGCCCCACCCGAAACTTTCCAGCATTGTCTGCGGGTACAGCCATTCACGTTCCCAGGCTTCTCGTCTGTGCCTGAACATTTCCTGCCATTTTCTGCCTCCTGGGTTTTGCTCAAGCATTTGTTTGGAATGCCCTTTCCCTATACGTTCACCTGCCTGAGGCCTACCTTTCCAGCAGAGTTCAGTCCAATCTCTGCCTTCTCTCTCTGGTCTAGGCGTCCCTCCCTGCTGGAATTGAGCCTCGGGGAGTGTCGGTGGGGTTGATTTGATCTGGTTTGAATGATAGGGTGAGAAAAGGTGGTTCCATTGGGGTGTACATATTTGCTAATATTTAATATTCAGATTTTCAGTAGTGCATGCGTAGGATTTATGGATATATATATAAATATATTAAAGGTGTGTGCTGAGAGTTGTTTTTTACTGATAGCAGCACTTAAGCAAGTCTGGAGACCACTGCCACATAGACTACCACCTGCGGTAGAGGTTTGCCGTTTACTGGCTGTGTGACGTAGGAAAGTTACTCGACCTCTCTGAACCCAAGTTTTCCTGTCTGTAAAATGGGGAATATCTCAGTTCCTACCTTATGGGTTAGTGCAGGCTCCATGAAATAAAACTATAAAGGAAATGAGGCCTCCAAGATGTGTCCTGAGACTCAGCCTGAGGACGTTCAGGCTGCCGGTGGGTCCTGGTGGGCGACACGGAGGAAGGAGGGGCGGAGGTGGCCCCTGTTGATGGGGACTCTGTGGCTTGGGCAGGCTGGGCTGAGACAATCCCAGTGGTGTTTGATAAAAGGTAGGGGCTCTTCTCTGTCAAATAAATATTATAAGAAAAGGCTGTCTCCAGGGAACGGCTCCCTCCCGTTCCCCCCTTGAGGGCCAAAGTCCCCAGGGGCCAGTCTGGAGTCTCCTTTTATGTGACTGTAAAGTAATCCAGGGCCTGGCAGGGTCGAGGCTGGGCGGGCACTGACTCGCAGGGCAGCATTGATGCGGTCAATGATTACCTTTTATGCCTAGCCATAAAGGCAACGGCCCAGCTCTCTGGACAATGCCCCCTCCAGACAATGCCCCAGGAGGGTGGGTGCGTGAGTGTGCGTGCACACACACACACACACACACACACAGCTGCTGGGCAGGGACCTGTCCCCGCCTCAGATCTCTGAGGACATCCTCAAAAGGCATCTCTGTCTCCCCTGAGTGGTCCCTGGAGACTTGGCCCAGGAGCTAAGGGAGTTTGGGTGGCGGTAAGTGGGACCTAGTGAGGTTCAAGACACAAAAGCGCTACATCCAGGGCCCCGGGGCCTGCTCCGGGTGGTTCTATGCAGGGGGGCAGCGTTTTCACCCAGACTCAGGTACCACGTCTCAATGGGAAGACGGGTTTTCTAGGACCAATCAAAGTCCATTCCCAGTTTACAAGTGATGCAGTTGAGATCTGGGTGCACAGCGGGGCCCAGGGGCCCGAGGAAGAAGACAGTGGCCGAGCTGGGAGTAGGACCCTGGTCCTCTCTGACATCACCAGACCGAGGGGGTCCAGGTGGGAGTGTCAGGTGTCAGGAAAGGTTTGGGTCACTTCTCAGAGAAGATGTCTCGCCTGGGGCTCAGAGGGGAGCTGGGAAGGACCTGAGGGCCTGGCCTTGAGGCTAATGTTGGGAAGAGATGAAGAATGACCCCCTCGAGTGCCCGTGGGCCACATGCAGGGCCAGCTGTGCTCACATAAACCCCTTTCATGGCTTTCTCACCCTGTCCCGATGGGTATGCACCCCGCCCACCTGCAGTGGGGAGGCCGGCTATAAGGGGGCAGGGCTGGGGCATAGATGGCCAGATTAATATTCCACCTCTTGGGCTGATAAGGTCCAGGAGCCTTTGTCCTGGCAAGAGAGGCTGGAGGAGCCCGGACAGCAGCCCCTGGTAGGGGGTTCTGGCAGTTCAGGTGCCTGAGGCATCACTGCAGCGTGCCTGAGACTGCAGGTCAGAAGGCCTGGCATCGCTTTCCTCCCCGGGCTGAGGGGAGAGCGCTGCATTATCGTATTGGTGGGCACGGTGGGGATGAAAAACTACATGGGGCATCTCTCGGACGAGTCACACAAGTCCGGCTGCTATCTTGAGGAAAGAGGGCTGTTATTCACAGCAGTTATAAAATGCTTCGTGGAATCGGAGTGAAGTTGCTTTGAGCCTCAGCCAGAGTGCTCCAATCAACCTTTGGCTCTGATAAAGATAAGCGCACCCAAGGTGATAACACACAAACCAGAAACTGTCAACAGGTGCTAATTAGGGCACTGGGTGCTGAGCCACACCCACCATGCCTGACCTGGGGAGAAATCTCAGGTGGGGAGCCAGGGCTTGATCTGGGTGGGGGAAGATATGGGCTCATTGCTGGTATCCAGCCTCATTGCCTTCTTGTCACCTCCTCCTTCCAAGGACTTCTCCACCCCCATCCCAACACCCACCCCTGCCTACCTGGCATTACATAACTTAAGACGAAAGAACAAAATATATTCGAACATCGTGTAATAAACCACGATGACCATGATGTAACACGGTGGAAAGAGTCCCGAAATGGGAGCCGAGAGACCCAGCTCTCTGTCTTGCTCTGCGTAACCTTGAGCCAGTCATTTCTCTTGGAACTCAAGTTCCCTCCGCCATCCCTGCCGCTACCCACCTGCCTGCACAACGGGGGGTGAAAATGGGGTCCCGGTCAGGTCTAAAGTTCACGCTCTTCTGCCGCAAAACACTGCAATCTGTGAAGCGCACAAAACATGTCGCTGGTGCCACCCAGCAACGCTGGGGTGTGCGTGACACTTGACAGAGTCACAAATCCATCTGCAGGAGAGGGAGCCCTGTGGAGGGCTCCGAGGCGTGGACAGTTCTCAGGGCTCCTGGAATC